ATATATTACTAGACCATCTTCCATCTCCCACACCACTTTGGGATGTAAATGGATCGATTTAAGCCGCTAGACTTAGCCCACCATGCAAGTCAGCTTGTGCTCACATATTTGGTGAGCCGAGCACGAGCATCATCGTTTCCGAGAGTCATTTGCGACTCATCTTTTTTCAACTAAAATTGCATTTTTACTTCCCGAAATATAATGAAGATGTAAATTTGTAAGATAATGGTTAACATATAAAAAAAAAAATCATTTTATCCAAAAAATTATAAAGTTGTAAAAATCTTCCTCCTTTATTGGACTTGGAACTGGCTACAATACATATGCAGAGTACAAATTGTACACGAACGAAAATTTCATGTAATACTTTTTGTTCAAAAAAACAAATGAAACGTCAATGTACAATAATCTAAAAATTGTTGAAAATCTTCAACAATTGCATTGGTCATCTTGTATTGTATTTAATAGTCTGCATCTTATATCCTTCAAGTACATTAGAGTATCAAACAATGTTCTTTCAATTTGCTTCTTTCATATGAGGAATCCCTATCACATGCACTAAACATGGAATATGATGCTACATTTGACACTTGAAGCGTTAGTAGATCATGTGCCATCAAATATAATATTGAATATTATTTTTCATTTGTTCACCACCATCCAAGAAAATCAAAATTATTTATCTCCTCCATTTAGTGCACTAAGAATATTCTATGAAAAATATATATCTAACTCAACATGGATTTCATTTCATGTGGTGCTAATACTAGAACAAAAAATGAGAAGATGATGAACTTAATGCAGTAGTCCTACTTAAATAGGTTCCATATGTTACATATATCGATTGCAAACATAAGTTGAGTAAGTTAGAATCTGCATATACACTAGCAAATGCTTGTTTAATAAAACCGAGCGACAAAAATAAAAACAATAGTGTGTCTAATTTTTATCAAATATGGTACAATATACTAAGGTCATCTTGCACAATCAATTTAAAATATGACAAACACAATGCACTTGAAAAAAGCTTCAAATCAAA